GGGTGTGTTTAAGCTGTGCTGTTGCAGGGAATATGCAAGAAGCAAAGTTTGCTTGGTGATATCTTTTATTGGACCAATATGTAATTAGGAGAGATGTTAGACAAGCTTTCAGGCATAAAATGTTCATCAGTTTTTGGGAAAAATGCAGGTCTGGCCTAAACTCATATATATATATATATATATATAAAACCTTAGGTTGTATTTGCCTCTTTCCAGATCCAGGGATGGAATTTTCCCCTTTCTAGACCCAGGGATGGCATTTTGTACTTGATAGCTTTTCTAACATTTGCTACTCAAAAACCACATTGTTCAAAGGTTCAAAGGCTATTTGGGAAGTCAGGCTGATGGAACATCTCCAAGAATTTTCTCACTTGTTAGGGATAATGCACATATCTCAATGTGGGCAGAAAAAATTAAATGATATGACATCAAATACACAAAATAAAAGCTTGAACAATGTAAAGTGCATCTCTGACAAACAACAGAAAGTACTGTTATAACTTTCAAAAAAAGAAATTTAAAAAGAAAAACAAAGCTCTTAATAAGGCCAAATAAATCACTCATCCACATCGACTTTAATGGGAAACTACTGACCTTGATTTCTTCATTTTGTCAGCAAAACTAGGGCCTGAAGTACTTCAAAGCACATTAAAAGTATTTGTTTGAGAAAAATTCACTGACAATTAACATTTGAAATCCAATCTTGATCTAGAAAAGATCAAAGATGATCCTGCCTAGAACAAACAGGTAACGTAAAAAGTAGATAAAAGAAACTACTGGGGTAATAGAAAATATTTTAAATTACTAGATCTAATTACAAAGAAAAGAAAAAAATGAAATGTAATTATAAGAACCACTAGCAATTAAATGCAAAACTGCCATCTTCATTTGAAATAACCCTTCATTCACATAATCTGTCAATTCACCCTGCTGTTGCAACATCTATAAGAAAACACGCAACTGAGGTTGGCTAGGTCAACAGGCAAATGGGGCTTACTAGAATGCATTTTATCTGCATAAAAGCAAATGTATATATTTGCTTCTTTTTCTATTCTATACCTTCGCTAAATTACTAGTCTTTTAAGAACTATATCCTGCAAGAAGCACATATGTAGGATGGCACCTAACAAAATAGGGAATTTAATTCTGATTGCAGCCTCTGCAACTACTGCAATATCCTTATTACTACCTGTCTAGTAAGTACATAGTTAAACCTACCCCTACCATTGAACACTGAAATTATGAATTTTAGAATGAGTGAACTGAAAAAACAGGGCACAAGGAATGTGCCATTAATGAACAATCTAGCAAGCAATTCATACCGTAAGTTGGCGGACTTAAGTGACACAAGTTGTTTTGAGCAAAGGCATAACACAGTCCAGATCACCCAGCAAGCAACCTTCATGTGACCCTGGGCAGAAGGAGGGCGGGGCCTGTGATTTTCGCAGTGTGTCTACATTGCCTCGATTCTATGCCAGGAAGTGCTACCACAAAGTTGTGCCTCTCATCACCCTACTACAAGCACATGCTCAAACTACTCTAAGGCCATTACTTTGCCTCATTTTCAGAATTTGTAATGATCTAGAGTGTGGGCAGGGAGTACTTCAGGGCAGCACTCCCATTGACTCATAGGGCCAAATTAAAATCAATTTTGTAGGCACCTCAAAAAGACTTTGACAAAATTTAGGCATCTAAGATACAAGACACAGGCCAGATCGACCCCACTGCAGCAAGTGCAAATGAGGTAGGTACCTATGATCATTATTTTCACCTGAAAAGATCCCAAGGAGAGTAGATATGGACTATAGTGCATGCTCTCAAGAGACTGAGATAGACCATCTAGGCCACTAACTCCCTCCTAGACTCTGTTGCTTCCTAACATCAGTGTGGGTTGTATCTAAAGTTTACCTACATTCCTGATTCCCTAGGCATGGACAGAGCATATATCTGACAACTATTTAATTCTGAAAACAAGCAATGCATTATGAAACCCAGGTGGCAGATGAAAAAGGCAAATGCCCAATAGCCTCGTAGTTAAAGCACTCACCCAGAAAATGGAAGACCTTAGTTGCCAGGTCTTCTTGTTCTGAGGAGTCTAAAATCTGCATCCTCAGTTTAGAAGACTGGCCTCCCCATAAAACTGTGGGTTAGTTTGACTAAGGGCACCACTCATCACTAGCAAGAGAACAAGAATCACAGGACCAGAAGGATGCAAGCATGAGAAAAACTGATTTTGTAGCCTAGAGAGGAAGGTGCTTTCCTTAGGGGGGTATAACTTATATTCCTGTACCTGCTCCTAAAGATATTTTTGCTTTTTAGGTTAATGACCATCTAATATAAAATGCATAAAGAAATATGGTAGTGGGGATCAGAAATCAGTTCATTTGCAGAAAAGCTTTACACATTTGAATTGCTACATAAGGTGGGTGAAAACTTGGCCCTATGTGAATAAAAGACACTATTTTTATGTTCTATAAAAATAACTTTTTTCAGAAGTTGCATAAAGCATAACGCATACATATGTTCCGTCTCTCATTGCCCTTAGGGATAAAATTTCTTTGTTGTAGTTAAATGTTCTTAAACTGTACTTACATAATGTTAGATCTTTACATATATTTTACATACTTTTACATAAATACCATTTTGCAAACAAATATGAAAAGGTTAAAATGAAATTAAAATAAAGTAAAATAAAGTAATAAGAATCATACCTGTGTTATGTCTAAGTCTTTCATTTGAATGCTGCGTAAGGTCAATTGTCCTGTCAATTTGAAAGATTTTTAAGTCTTCATCATCTAAGGCAATATCTCCCCAAAAGACAGCTTTAAATAAAAAAGAGCTGAATTTAATTAAAGAATTTACTTAAACATTAAAACCAATCTGAAGAATATATTGTGACTTCACAACTAATGGAAAAAAATATATGCACATAAATGTTTTAAACTATTTATTTAGTAGGTCTGTGTGAAGCAGCTAGTATTTGCTTTGGATTCAGCCGATTTGGGGGACAGTGATTTGATTCAGTGATTCAAATCACTGTCCCAAATCGGTCTGGCTGAATCTGATTCACAGATTCAACCACTGCCGAATTGGCTGAATCTCCTAATTGGACAGGTCCCATCCCCCACCCGCTCTCACAGCCCCATCACTGGCTGCCCCTCCAGGTTATTTAAGAAAGAAAAAAAAAAAGCCTGGCATTCACTGGCTGCTGCCAGGCAGGGGGGCAATCCCCACCGGCCTCTGCCATGTAAGGGGCTCTGCCATAAGCCCCCTGACCATTCCCCCAGCCCCACCCCTGCTGTCGCACCCAGCCCCAGCTCCCAGTTCTTAAAAAAAAAAAAAAAAAGCAAAAGCCCCAAACACACCAGCTCCTGCCAGGCGGGGGGTAATCTCCGCTGCCCCACACTGCCTCATCCTGCCACAAGTGCCCAGAAGCCCTGATGGCCACTGCAGGAGCTGGTGATACCAGGCCTTTTTTTTTTTTAATTTTTTTAAAAGAACCAGGAGCTGGGTCTGGGCAGGGCAGCCATTGAGGGGTGGGATTGGGAAAGCGGGCAGGGAATGGGGACCCATAGTGGAGCCCTCCACACAGCATAGGGCAGTGGAGATCTCCTCCCCATCTGGCAGCAGCCAGTGAGTGGGGGCTTTTAAAAAAAGCTGGGAGCTAGGGCCAGACAGGGCAGCCATGAGGGGGTGCTGGGAGAGTGGGTGGGGGTTAGGGGGCAGGGAGAGCAGGCAGGGGATGGGACCTGGTGGTCCCCTCCTCCCTCCTTGAACCCCCCCTCCCCTTACTTCACCAGCATGGAGTCCAGATCCAGCTCCCTGCAGTGGCGAGCAGCGACTGCCCGGATCTCTAAAGTTCTCAGAATCTTTTCCAAATCGATTCAGAGAACTTCAAATTGATTTGGACCTTTTTATTGGTCTCCTAATTTGATTCAGATTTGGAGATTTGTTCAGCAAATCAGGCCAAAACTCCTATGAATTGAATCAGCACCCAAAACTTCACACAGCCATATTAGTTTAAATAACAACCTAGAACATATTCATTTGTCCCAATATTTTCCCATTAACATTGCTATTCAATGTAATCACACAAACAACACAGTACTATATTAGCTAATCCCCAACAAATCCTTTTTTTCTACGTGTGAACATAACCCACCCCCTCAAAAAAAAAAAAAAACCCAAACCACTCTGAATTTAAGTAATCATTTTTCACAAAAATTACAATGTTCCATATGATGTTGTTAAAAACATATTCCTTTCCCATCACCTGTGGTCATGTTACTCCCCTGAGTGATTTCCTTCACTGCCTTTTTCTTGCTTTAAGGATTATATTTTCCTTTGTTAATTCATGTTATGTTCATTGTTATTTAATCACATTTGTATTATATAAAGTTTTACTTATATATAGCTGGGGAAATCCTGTGGATTGCATAGCCATCCCCTATATTCATAGCACTTGTTTTGGAACACAAGGCCATAAGAAAGAAAAACTGCATTGTGGGCATGTTTCATTCTCTTTTTTAAAAGAATGCCCACTTAGAGCAGGGATGGCTACCAACCCAGAGCACACCTGCCAGAAGTGGCACTAGAAGCCACTATGTATGACACACAGAACCTGGGCTCTCAGCAAAGGAAGGACTGGAATAGAGGCAACTTCTAGAGATGATGTCAAGTGTCACTGTGAAGAGTCAGGTTAATCCTTCCCTGGCCCTGCAGCCATTGCCAGTTCAGGAATTTGGATCCATATAAAACTGCAGTGGTTGTGGGGCCAGAAAAGGGAGGCAGTGACATTTCTCACAGCAGCATTCTGCTCCCACTTCATGTAGCCAGAGGTTCAAGTCCTTCTGCTTCCATTCTAGCATCCAACAGGGCAAACCCTCAGGTAAACCCCTGCGAGACAAGGAACCAAAGAGGCACCTAGGGAGGGCTGGGGCTTAACTTATGACAAGCCTAACAAAAAGGTTAGTTAGCCATCACTGACTTAGACGAAGAATCATTATGCAACGTATGTAAATATATATATTTATGTGTGTATGTGTGTGTAAATAAAATATACACACACACACAACAATAAATGCACATATACATACACACTATAAATTTTTTATTTATATATATGTAAGTTAATTTGCACACATTGTTTTTACTACAACAAAAATAATAGATCAATTTTACTGTTGCAAAGAACTCAGACTGCAACAAGTCAGAATATATTTAATACTAAGAATTCACCTTTGAAGTCTTTGAGTTAATCTTGTGAATCATGTCTGCACACTCACCTGTGCCAATATTCTGTGGCACTTTGTGGCATCCTTGAAAGGATCACCAAGTTAAGTATCACTGATATATGCAATGTAAAGGCATAACATCTTTACCAATTTAAAAAATATGAAATAAAAAATACAGGGCAGTTAAGCCAAGCAATATAAGCTAAAAAGTAGGGCTGTAAAATGATTTTAAAATCTGATCACGATTACTTGCATGATTAACAAAAATAGTCAAAACTAATCATGTTTTTAATCACACAGCTGACAACTCAAAATTATGCACTGAACTCAAAATTATACAAAATTATGCAGGTACTTTGTATGGTTGGGGAGCTGTTGGTGTGCGTGTGGGTTTTAGAGCTCACGTGAGGGGAGCCCGCGGGTGGGGGGTCTGGAGCCCAGGGAGGGGAGAGCCCCACACATTCTGGCAGGATGTGGGGTAGCGTGGGTCAGGAATGAGGTAGCAGCAGGGCACAGGCACATCACTGCCTCCCCATAATTGTATTGCCACTTCCCCCCTGCCCACAGGTGCCTTCTTTTTTGAAACTGAAAATATGGTAACCCTACAGGAATGCAGTCCAGCTGCAAGTAGAACAGCACCTAGCATGTATGTCAGTGGAGGGGAAGGGGCAGGGCAGGAAGGGAAGGGGTGGGGGGGCCAGATAGAGGGCCCCATGGTGAGAGAAGTTGTGAGGCAGCGACTGGGGTGAATGGGGCTCTGGGGCAGGGGCAGGTTGTGGAGCCATGGGAGGCTCATCCAGGGTCGTGGTGGGGGTACAGCTCCCTGGCGCAGCACACAACCTTGGGACAGGCATGGGGGAAATGTACCCACCATATTTGTGCGTGCAGCAGAGGTGAGCTGCACTGCGGCTCTGTGCCCTGCTGCTTTTGCCCTGGGAGTCGTGTGATGTCATGCTGTGCCTCCAGCTGTCATGTGGGCTGGGGATGTGCAGCTTCTGGGGCAAAGGCAGCAGGGCACAGAGCCCCAGTCTGCCTTCCTCCATGGACAAATCTGGGGGACACATTCCCCCCATGCCTCTCCTGGGGGTGTGCACAGTGGTGGGGAGTTGCACCCCCTCACACACCCCATGGTGCCATGACCTGCCCCAGCCCTGGGATCCCATTCACTGATCTGCACCTCCTGCCCCTTCCCTCTCCCCACTCCCCTTCCCCTCCACAGACTTACCTACTGATCACTTCTCTATATGTAGCCAGCCTGTGTTCCTGGCTGCATACATGCTGTGGCTGCTCATGTGTCTGTGTCTATGCCTATGCACATGCCCCCCTGTACTGCTGCAGCCCAGAGCCCATACCCAGGCTGCCCTGCAGGCCTCTGCACTACCACTGCTGCCCCACTGGGAGGTCAAGAGGCAAAGGTGATGGCAGTAGAGTGGAGCCCAGGTACAGACGCCAAAACCAGATCCACATTAACACATTAAAAAAAATTAATGCAAAAACCAATTAATGTGGTAAATGTGCACACTAATAGTGCATAATTGACATCCCCACTATAAAATGAAACACCTTTCTAGCAATAAACCATTTTTTTTTAATAGTACTTAATTCAAAATTGGGAGCTCAAACAAAAGCTTCATCTTGGTGGCTCTGCAGGCATGGTGAATTACTTCTTTTATTCTTTAGGGAAAAAATACCAACATAGCCACTGTACAAGGTAGCAAGAAAGAAATAAACTTAGTTAAAAAAATGTTTTACGACCTTATGAGTAATGTATTTCTACATATAAACAGTTCTATATTTTCCATAAAAATATCAATAGTGTTCTGAAAACAGCAAGCATTTGGAATGTACTCAAATGCATTATCTGAACTATTCAGTCACTCCACATAGTTACTCTAAACATTTTCTTCCCAACAGTCACTAATTCAGCAGTAACATTATCCCATACAACTCATCTCATCAGCAGTATACACTGTGAACAGGAATAATTTTCCCACTGCCCTCTTCCTGTGACTATGACCCACTACTGCAGTCCTATAGAATTATTTTTATCATTGTACTAGTAGGTTAGAGTAGTGGCAGTTCATGATGTTTCTCATACTGATTTTTGTGACACCTTCTAACATCTACACCTTCACCAGAAATATATAATCACTACAATATATTACAAGAGGGTTAATATCTTTTTCTGACTGCTGATTCTATCCCCCAATATATTAATTCTTGAAGAAAAAGTTTTGCAGTGTCCTGAAGAGAAGGCGACTCCTTCAATTAATCTACAGCCAAACACTCAGTGAACTCATCAGAAACCTTGCTAAAAAATGTAAAGGATATAGCCAGTCCTTAGTAAAACCAACCAGAAACTTTCTATCGTAAATTTCTGGAAATTCAAGACCCGAGGTACTGTGGAACCAATTCAGAATGCATTTCCCTCTTTCAGTCTTAAATGTCTTGGGGTTCAAAACTATCAAAACAAGGCAGATTGTATGCTTTCATATTGTAGAATACCAATCTCATTTTACAGATGGTGAGCAAAGGACTAATTAGCTGTAGTCGTAGTAGTAGTAGTAGTTTATTTACAGCCTTCACTA